TGAGTAAAAAAGCTGCTTGGAGATCGCAAATGACGGCGGCCTTAAAAGTACGTTCGAAACAACTGGATCAAAGTTATGGCTGAATACTCTGAGATCGCCACAATAGCACTGTTGCTATTTCCGGCATCCTACCTGTGTGAGGTGTGGAGTTTCTGCAGCAACGGCGACTAAAACAAAATTACGAAGTAGACTCGACATAAACCACACACTTGAGGTGTCATTACCCCGAGATGGGACTGTCTGATTGCAGAAAATCAAGCTCGGGACTGTGGTGAGTCGTCATTTTCATGCACTTTGAATTTGCGTTGTATAGTATTTTGAAGGCATTAAACATTACCATAGCGATAAGAGTGTTGCGACCAGATTAGACGCTCCTTGTGTTTATTATTATATTTCGAAAACACCACAGTTTTCATGCAGCTCATACCATATTATTTTGTTGTATTAATCAGCCACACCTTAAATGCCGGTCCCTGAAAATATTGTCTGACTTAAACCGGTCCGTGGGGCAAATAAGGTTGGGGACCCCTGTCTTAAGGTGTTAGCATGAAGTCAGTGGACTTCAAAGGAAAGGGCTGTCACCCGTATTGCAAGGCACCGCTACGTTTCAGTCAAACGGATGCCATGTTCATTATAAGTGTGTGTCTGTGCATGCGTGTGTGTGTTTTTAATATGTGATGAAATTAAGCACACTTTCATCACTGTAGGACTTGTCGGCTAGCATTCAAAAGTAAGTACTGATTAAGAAAGTCGTATCAGTGCATCTCCAGTGTTTATGATCCACACACACACACACACACACACACGCACACACACACACACACACACACACACACACACACACACACGCGCGTGCACACACACACACACATACGGGTTTTACGCTTTGTGGGGACCACTTTTTTTATTTATCACATGCAGGGACCAGCCTTTCCAAATGATACTCAGCAATGAAAATAAATCAGGTATACACATTTGTGGAACTGCTATTTGTCCTCATCCCATCCAACTCCAGTTGAGAACTGCAAGCAAAATTAAAAAAAAAAAAAAAAAAAAAAAATCACGCACAAAAAAATGCAATTGTAGTTGTGCTTGTGTTTGATTCTGCAAAACACACATGCACACACACTCACACACACACACACACACACACACACACACACACACGTTAGCGACCCTTAAGGTGCCAAGTGCAGCTCATGGCGACATACATTCACCCAAGTATACGTGTATATATAATACTTGAGTGAATGTATGTCGCCACGAGCTGCACTTGGCACCTTAAGTATCGGTACCTTGAGTGTGAAAACAGCAATAATGAGTGCAAACAAATCCGAGTACCACCGGGCCTTAAAAGAATGGCTGCAGACGATATGTTTACATTCACATCGGGGGTAGAATGCATGATCCCCGGAATGCAATCCAAGCGGGCTTTTTGGAGAATGAGTCTTCTTTTATGTGACATCTCGTTCCTCCCCTTCGGCAGCGCCACAATTCTCGCAGGTGTAGTTGAGCTTAGCAATACAAGCATCCAGATCCGTACGTAACGTTGAGACCACCTGAAGCCCGCCAATGGTGATTCTGTTCACAGAAGACAGGAGATGTATTTTTAGACAACGCTGTTATTTTATTTCTTTATTTATCTAGTTTGTTCTTCTCGCTCGTCTTGTCACCGAGGTTGTGTCGGCTGCAACAAAAGCGACATCATTAGCTTGCGAGTCGGGTGGCGCGTGCACCGGCTAAAAGGCGCTCGCTCCAGAGTGCATGTTCGGTGTTGGTGGCTGTGTTTTCATGGAGGCCACGATGATTGCCACATCAGGTGATAGCGTAAACACGACTTGCTTATACAGTCGAGCATTTTATATTTATTCGCACAGTGTTGTTATTACAGGCTATCATGTCTGTTTGCCTTAAAGAGGAAATAGTCAGGAACATTTTTTTGCCCAAAACTACTGCACAACTTTTGTCTTCCGACCTTCCTTTGATTTTTGCTGAATTGTGATGATATAATGCAACTTTAGTGTTTTGAGCCATTTTCACCATATGTTTGTCGGGAAGCCATAAGCTCCCAAAACGTGTTGTTTTGTTTTTGAGCTGCTGGCGTCATTTCCTCAGTTACTGGTTCGAAATGTAATGATGGCCCAAGCACCAAGCAGAGCTAAATCCCTCTTGGAATCAAATTAATATCATTATCTTTACTCCAAAAGAATTATTTGAATTGTCTTTTGGTCGGCGACCCGGTGATCCAGTGGTTAGCGCGTCGACCTCACAGTGCAAAGGTCATGGGTTTGCTCCCGGCTGTGGCCTTCCTGTGTGGAGTTTGCATGTTCTCGCCGGGCCTCCGTGGGTTTTCTCCGGGTACTCCGGTTTCCTCCCACATGCCAAAAACAAGCATGACAGGTTGATTGAACACTCTAAATGGTCCCTAGGTGTGAGTGTGAGCGCGGATGTTTGTTCGTCTCTGTGTGCCCTGCGATTGGCTGGCAACCGGTTCAGGGTGTCCCCCGCCTACTGCCCGATGGCAGCTGGAGTAGCCTTCGGCACCCCCTGCAACTCTTGTGAGGATAAAGCGGATCTGAAAATGGATGGATGGATGTCTTTTGGTCCGTACACAAAACAGTAATTGCTGAATTCTGTTTTTTCTACTTCAGGTCTACTTCAAGCGGGACGGCGAGCTGATCGAGGTGATTTCCTACATTCAGCCTACAGCTGGTGATCAAGGCGGCGGCGGCGGCGGCGGCGGCGGCGGCGGTGGCTCGGCGGGGTTCCGAGGAGCCAGGCCACTCATAAGCCGGGACCTGGACGAGACGAAGCTGCAGCGCTCACTCTCCCTGCTGGACCCCGAGAGCCGGTCGGCGCGTTTGTACACGGAGCGGCCGAAGCGTTTCCACACTCAAGGCCTGCAGGCCTCGGAGCCCAGCCCCGCCACAGAGGTCATACCGGAGACAGTGGTGAGCCGAGAGTTCCCCCGCTGGGTCCACAGCACGGACCCCCTGTACTACTTCAGCCACACGCACATCCCGCAAAGCGACGGCTTGGTGGTGGTGCAGGCGCGGCTCACGTGGACCCTCAACCCACAGCTGGATAACGACGCCCTCTTCAGCTGCGAGGTCAAACATCCGGCTCTCTCCATGCCCATGCAAACAGAGGTCACATTGGGTAGGATGCTTTGTTTTTCTTTTGTACTTCCATTTTTACCGAGTCCTACACATGACATAGTGGAAAAAAAAAAAAAAAAAAACATCCACAATGCAGCTATAACATGCACAAAATGCTAATTTGTGGCCGCAAAATACGTATGTATACACTGCTCAATCACAATTCGGCAATCGTGAATTTGGCAGATTTTTGGCCAGACCCTTTATTGTTCATTACCTTTTTGGACCGTTTTGTGCTTAGGGACCTAAGAATTATTTCGAAGTTAAGTGCAGAGCTTCATTTCATCAGGCTCTGGCAATTTATAAAAGAAAAAATGAGCTTTGCCTTCATCTTCTGCTTCTAAAGGCAATTACAGACTTTTCTGGGTGGGCATTTATTACCAGTGTGTTTTCAAGACTCGCGGCAGGCCTTAGTCCCTCTGCTTTGAATCCTAAATGCTGAAATCCTTCAGTGTCCCTTCAGTCTAGAGCAGTGGTTCTTACCCTGGGTTCGGTCGAAGCCAAGGGGTTCAGTGAATCGGTCTCAGGGGTTCGATGGAGACTCTGCAATGGAGCTGAAGACACACCCGACTCAACATGTCAATTAGTGATAACACGACAACATCCTGTCTATTCTTTCAGCACGGGCGAGTCTTTCATATGAAAGGTGACGCTCTTCTTAAACCAGCCAAACAGTCCAGTCGCAATCGATTCAGTGTCCTGAGAATACGCAATGGACAGCGGTAGTCTGAAGACATTTTAGTTGAGGTCGGTAATGTGCTACAATGACAAGCCTGCGATTGAAGGCTATGACTGACAAGATTGGAATGAGAAGAGACATTCAACTTCCAGACTTGGTGTAATGCAGTTTCCAGTGAAGGGGCGCTCCATTTGCTTACCCACATGTCCAAGTTGTTCATACATTTGTATTTCGTGCACAGGCTCTGTTTTCGCCACCGTTCATTGTTCCTGCACGTGAATCCTCACTCATATTCTTGACAATTGGTAAAAATCTGCACTCTATCGACTCTCGGGGTTTGCATCTCGTTTGATGGGTATCTCGACACGTGGGCTGCAATACGATTCAAGGATGCTTGAATTTAACATGTAAAAATTCCGTTGTATGACCACTCGATTTGATATGGTACGACGGAGTTCGAGAGGGTGCGATGCAATGAGTTTTACAACATGAATAAACTTAGCGTAAGTGTGGCATTGACTTCTAAGATATATCTCGCCTATAAAAGACGATTCAATACGTATTTATACGTTTACCGTCTCCTTGCTCATCCTCAGAACAACTCTAACTTGACACCGACTTGATTGTGTTGCAGACAAGCAGATTGGAAGTTTAAGGGTGTAAATGCAAAAAAAAAAAAAAAAAAAAAAAAACGACAGTGACTGACAAGCCAATTCACGGCACCGTCTGCTCTCCTGCCAGATTGAGTTAACGCAACACCATTATTTAAAAAAGCCAAGATTAGATATGCGGGATGACAATTCTGACACAAAAGTTCTCAAATTTGCACTTGTCTCTGAATCAGGGGGGACTTTCTGTGCATATTCAACCATCAAAAAGGAATAAATCCAATGAAGTAAACAAGAGTCTAACTTTTAGGGGGAAAAATTATTATTAATTGGGTTTTTTTGTACGTTATCCTGGAGATGAATGCACGAAGCCGCTCTGTTTTTTTTCGCGAAACTAAAAACAAAGATGGCTCCCAGCATTTCCAATTAACACTTCAAAGGCGAAACATTGGCGTCATTCTTCTGCACACGAGCGTTGTGATCCAAGAGAAGCACACATAATTGTGCGGAAAAAAAAAAAAAAAAAAAACTCACACTGCAGAGACACTTTTGTGGATGCTCTCCAAAATCAATAACGTAACATCGAAATGATGCCACCCGTTTCTTTCTACCGGCCAAGATCTGTTCTTGTTGCCTCACTCTCGGGTCCACTGTTGTTTTTGAGGCATGTTCGGATTTTTTTTTTTGTTTGTTTTTTTTTTGTGCGTCAAGTTTTCTTTCCAGAGCTCACACGTTCATATTGAGGTAATTAGGTGGATTCTTCAGAGTCTCAATTAGCGCAGGAGAGACACTCCTTTCTGCTGTTGACAGTGAAGCAGTTCGCACCGACAACGGGCCTTGGCAAAACAAAACATTGTTAATTAAAACTTTTTGTGACATATGTAAAATTGTTGGAAGGCCGACGAATGGATACAGTCACACGTTTGTTTACTTCCCTGTACTGGCACATGTGGGTGACATGAATGCGCCGTGAGCAGGTGTGAGTTTTGGACCGTGTATATGGGAATGCCACGGCAAAGCATATCCAACATTTCCCCTCGGGAAGGTGCTTTCAAATTTTTGCTCATTCAAGCCTCAAAACGCCATCACCGTCGAAACGAAAGGCACTTCTGATAGGATGTTTCATCGTTTTTACTCGCAAGCGTCCTAGTCACAATGGACCCTCAGTTGGAATGTTGGGTCCGAGGAATATTTTTGGAACTGGTCGACAAGAAAATTCCAATTGACATTTTTTGAGCGTTGGCCAAATTGGTGGTCAAAATCTTGTCATCTCACATTTCATATACTGCATATTGGAGCAATTACTGTATTTTCCGCACTGTAAGGCGCATCTGAAAGCATGCAATGCTCTCAAAAGCCGACAGTGTGCCTTATAATCCGATGCACTGTAACGATATGGATCGATATTCTGATTTCTTGGACCTCGTATTTTAAATGTTCTGTAAAGCGCTTTGCTACAGCTGCAGCGGGTGTGAAAGCTCAATATTAAAAAGCTGTATTGTATTGTATTGTATAATACATGTATATTTAGTGTAGCTCCATCTAGTGGATGCATAACGCAACCACAGCCACGACTGTAGCTTCTATTCTATTCGTCTTTTAATGCGGTACTCCGTATATATGAAAACAGTTTTAAAATAGGCCATTCATTGAAGGTGCGCCGTCTACTCCGAAGCGCCTTATAATGCGGAAAATACGGTAGTCTATTTTCAAACCTGTGAAGTTTAACAAAGCTAAACCTCTCAGTCTAAGCAATGGAAACTCCATTTTGTGATGGAATTTTGACAATTTGTCCCCACAGCAAATTTGTTGTCTCGCTTGTGGTCCAAATTTTTCAGTCACTTTGGAATTTGGAACAATCGACATTTCACGTTTCTGGAGTCTGCTTTGTGAAATTGTTACAGGTTTTTCCTCGCTGCTAATCTGTGGGGTGCTGCCTCTCTTTTGAAAAATAACTCACATCTCTAAGAGGATGGGATGATATTATAATCTTTTATTCATTTTTTTTTAAAGCTCGGTTATTATTGCTGCCAGATTTTACTTTCCCAGCGGGAATCGCGCATCGCCGAATAATTCCTGGCGGAGAGCAATAGCTGTCACTGTTCCGTCCCCCCGGAGTGGAGAAATGTAGCTCATCACATGCAAAACTGACTCAGCAGCGTCAGTCAGAGCGCTGGCGACGTGAGCGGTCTTCATCAGACTGAAGCGCAGCGCGGTAAATATTTTAACAGCTCGCTCCCTCCAACATGGATGATTAAACCCATGACAAACCACGCGACGAGATGGGTGGAAACTCGCGCAAAATATCAGCGGCGCTTTTATTTTGACAAGTTGTTTGAAGATGTTCGTTCATCGCCATTGTTCCATCTGATTTTCATTTCGAGAAGAAAAGGGGAAGAGAGGACGAGCCATGAAATCAGAGCGCATTTGTAATGCCAAACACTCCTCAGCGCACTTGAGCAGAGGAGAAAACAAAAACAGCGCCGTCACAAAAGAGCCAGATCTCGGCAGTCAAGGTTGCAGACGGATGAATTGTTTGACTTCAGAGGGGATTTATTACGGAAAATTGGCTTTGTGAAGGCTGGAATACGAAGAGTTGCCTTTCTGGAGTGCCTGATCACTCGCCTTTTATGAAATGGGCCAACAACGTACAGCTTTTGTGATGGGCCTATTTCTGAAAAGATGGCTTTGGTCGTTTCCGAGCGAAGGTTTGCCCAACTGTGGTTTTGAAGAATAACGTCCCCCATGCCGAAATGTTGCTTGTGCGCAAAGCCGCCACTTTCGAAACACGGCTGGCCTGCACTGTCTGAACTATCGTGCCAAAAGGTAAGCGGGGCTGCCTTGAGTTTGACCTTAGTATTAGCTAACAATGTCAGCGTCTGACAGGCAACAGGTCCCTGAGAGCTCCGTGAAGCTTTGGGGTGGCGGCGTGGGGGGGTACTTTGGCAATAATGCTCTATTTTACCAAAAATTGGATTTAAAAAAAAATATAATAAAATTGTGTTGTGTTTGCTTCATGCACCACGTACAGGAATCTGTAATTGACACATGTAATGCATCATCTTGGTGATGAAGTGCTGATTCTACGAGGGAAATTTTTAAAATCTCCATGCATCCGTAGTCATCGTGGTAAAAAAAACAAAAAAATCCAGACTCATCATTGAGGCGGCAGTATGTGGAATTGAACAAGCTCTGGCTCACATCCAAGAGGCGGACGTCGGCCCCCTAAAAACAGGCTGATTCCTCCAAAAATGTCATGCGTGTTACTATTGTGGTATTTTGACAGAAGCATGTCACAGACACCTGGGACTTATTTTAAATTGAACAAAACGCATTCCGTCCACTTTATTGTACCCCTTGCACATCGTATCAATGATAAGTGCACAAATGCGGCCACTGTTTTACTCTTGCAAGCTGCTCTCGGTCAGGAAACGACGAGGCGCTCTTTTCCGTGGCCGTAAGTGATAAATCTTTCAGCGATTTAATATCGTCACGTGAGACGAAGCCACATTCTGACAATTGAACCAATGTTGTATTACACTCCTTCAATATTCATGAAGAGCAACGCGCTCGCCGTATCCGAAGTCGATGAGACGAGTGGCCGACGCCGGCTGGGCCTCGGGCTGTTGGAAACGAGCGACCCCCCCCCCCACCTCCCCCCTCACTCTTGGATTCTGTCCATGAAAGTTCAGGTCGCCCCTTGAATATTTAAAAGGTGCTCTTTTTGCGATGAGTCTCGGCGAGCAAAGGTGTGCGAAATGAACACCGTTACACGGGCAGCGCAAGTTTTATTTCGTGCACCGGTTTCAAGCCGACCTCACGTCGCCGTTGCTTCGCCAGTCAGGGATAATCAAAGAGCAGATGCTTGGCTCCAGATGGCATTGGCATGCGAATCGTGGTCGGGAGCGTGTGGATACACATGCAGCTATTTGTGTTAGCGTTGGCCACTCATCAATACTCTTTATCTGGTGGCTTTAGTGTTACCGCTCGGAGCCGTGAAAGGAATTACATGGCCGGATTCACCTGGATAGAGCCGCCGTCTGATCCGACGGCGAGTCCTTTTTAAAATGTACTTGGTGCGCCGCTGGCCTTCTTTTTTCTTGAACCGAGCCGCTCATCCGGTAAATGCGACGGGCCGGGCCTCAACTTTTCCTGTCTGCGGTGCAGCTGGCCGCACCTTTTGACGGCGAAGCTCGGCCAAAAAGTGGTCTTGTGTGCAAGCGTGAAGCGCGGTGTCCGTAATAACGAGAAGATGACGCTGTTGGCAAAACGTTCCATTCTGGAATTACGTTTGCTTTACGGGTTCCCGTACATGGTCGGCGGAGGAGGCTATGAGTTCCGAGGTGTAACGTTGATGGTAAAACAAGGGATGCTCGGTCGGTAAACACCTGCAGATATGCGCTTCCTTCTTCACAAATTCACCAAGGCAAAATGAGCCTCTGTCTTGTTGTTGTTATCGCCCTCTCCTCTGTCTTTAGAGCGCTACGTATGTCCGCACTTTTGCACGTAGAGGCTAAAAAGCTCCAAAGTGACTTCTCTGAATGACTTCATACCAGCATCTCAGCTCACTCGAGAGCTGTTTAAATACGGAGCTGATCCGGCTGTCACTCATTGGCAAGCCTTCTCGGGGTTGCTGGAATGTCGCGCCCCACCTTGGCCCGATCTATTGCATTCAGGAGGTTGGACTACCCCTGTCAAACTTTTGAGCACTCAAAATTGTCCCTACATGTGGGTGTGGGTGTGAGCGTGTGTGGTTGTTCGTCTCTATGTGTCCTGCGATTGGCTGGCAACCGGTTCAGGGTGTCCCCAGCCTACTCCCCGAAGATGGCTGGGATAGGCTCCAGCATCTGTGAGGATTAAGCGGATCAGGAAATGGATGGATGGATGGATAATTTTTTGTCTCACTCAATATGGTTCAGCTGAGTGGTGGGGCGACACCCTAGCATCATTTTTTTGACCGGCTGCCACTTTCAAAAAGTCAAAATACATACGTGTAATGGTCGGGAGTCTTGGAACCCTCCCTGGTGGAGAGCTGTTCGGCCTCGTGTCCGTTTGGGCGCCTGATGCCCTCATCAAGGGTGGCTGACGTCGGACGCCAACTGTCGCCACTGGACCGAATCCCAGAAATCGGCCATCATCTTTTCTTGCGCGGCCATATGCCCGACGAGCGCCGCGTGTGACACGGATGAAAACCGACAAGCTCCCGCGACTGCGCTCGCCGTTGCCAGAAGTAGCCTGTGAAATGCCATCCGTCCTGGGCATGAGAAGACACGGCGGGCCGTGTCACGCCTGCCTTCCTCTTGGCTTCGGCTGCCCAAGGGAAATATGTTGATGTTTCCTCTCATCTTGAAAATGTCAGAGATTTATCCGTTTTATTGGTCAACGTCGCTGTCCTACTTCGAGAGTCTTTTTGCTGATTTACTTTGTGTGTCTGGATGATTTTATTTTGTGCAACCACTTGACAAAAAAAAAATAAAAAATTGTCTGTGTGTGTGTGTGTGTGTGTGTGTGTGTGTGTGTGTGTGTGTGTGTGTGTGTGTGTGTGTGTGTGCGTGTGTGTGTTCTTTCTGCAAGATGCCACAAGAAGGTGTCAAGGCCCTGCTTAAGAGAATAGTGGGAATTGATATCGAGGAAGTATATTGACGTAATTCATCTCAATTGAGATTATTTTCATTCGTGCCGGCAGCACTTCACATGTATGGTACTTTTCAATCCGCGTGCAAATCTGAGTCCACAAATCCACGAGGCAATCATGTATGTGCCGCTTATCAGAAGCAGCGAGAGAACCCCGCCCTGTACATCCAACCAAACTCAATGCGGCCGCGCGTACCTTTGGGCTTTGACACGTTCATTTCAGACATGGCGTTGATCTTTGGCCAACCAAATCACAGCAAAGAAACTTGGGGAGGTGATGATGCAAGCCATGCTGTGAGTGAGCCCTTCTGAATGTCTGCCCCACTGTTACGTCACAAGGGCGGGATTTCAGAATTAACAGACATATTTTCCAAAATAAGCAGATAACCAAAGATACCGGTTGTTCATTTCTTACTTGATGGCTTGGTGCACACAGGACGCAGTATATTTCCCATAATTTGACACCCTCCCCGCCCCCCGAAAAATGGCCTCAGAGACTCTACCTTCCATAACGCAACTTGACATACGTTTAGCCACATGCTCATCAATTTTATTGCAAATAAAAGGGATGTTGTTTCTCTTCCTTTTATGCCTTGCAGTCTTCCAAAAGGCATTCATTCATTAGCTTCCATAGCCAAATAAATAGCCGTCCAGTGATTTCATTTATTTGCTCTCTTTTTTTTTTTATTTGTCTCTTAGTTATCCACACATCAATGAAAATAACCCCCTAATGTGATTTATATTAAGAGTTAAAACGCGGCAAATGAATGGAGGACGAGTGGCGATAGCGGGCCCTTAGCTCGACTCTCATCCCTGATTAATTAGTTCATTCGTCTATAACGGCGCCCCGCTGCGCAGCAGGCGGCGGCGCCGTTAACTTTTTTTGTTCATCGGATCACATGATGCAGGAGCTGCTTCGACGGGCCTGAAACGATATCGTGTGGTCACCGGGTCTCCATGAAAATTACCTTTTTTTTGTGTGTTGTTTTTGCTTTTCAAACATAATTCATATCATTGTCATGTTTTTTTGAAAAATCCGGATATATCCTGACCCCGAATAATCTTGGAATATTAGAACCTGCGCGGCCCCGGCGCCACATTGTTTTAGCGGGTCCAAATGAAAGCCGCCGAGGGCCGAGTGTCCGCAGCGAGACAAGGGAATTAGCTCGGTGAGTGTCCCTTATCTCGCCGCCTCCACACTCCACCCGCCGCGCTTCCATTCTCCTCCAGTAATGAGTATCCACCCAATTGAGTCCCTTTTTTCTCTCTGAGGGCGAATAAATCCAGCAGCATTGTTCTGATAAAGAGTCCTGCGAGGTCCGTTGCCTTTTGCCTGATGACCCTAATTGACAGGAAATTGCATTTGTCCCACACCTCCTGTGACAGAGCAGGTACTTCTATTCTCCATACACAATGTGATGACCTTTGTCTCTTCTTCTTCTTCTTTTCTTTCTTTTTTTTTTTTAATCTCCCTTCAGCTGCCCCAAAAGGCCCGAAGCTCTTTATGACCCCCAGCAGGGCCAAAGTCGGGGACACGGTGCGCATCACTGTGCAAGGATTCCAGGTAGGACCCCGCGGGGTAAGTTTCGGACTTTACAGAACCAAAGTGAAAGAATTCAATCTAATGTGGGATGGGAATTCACCATTTCAAAGCTTGTTTTGAAGTCTCTTGTTGAACATTGATCATGTTTTTCACAGCCTTATCGTTCTCGATCACAATGACACGATAGGCCAGATTCATGACACGTGCCACGGGAAATGAGCCGCTTTCTCTGAAAGCGCTTGTCAAGTGAAAACAAATCTTCTAAATTTGACACACCACAGAGTCGGGTGTCGTTAACAACCTTGCCAAATTCTGATGGAAAAAAAAAAAACCCTCACCAAGTAGGCTTCTATCACATAAGATTTCATGCCATTGTTTCAATTCCCAAACTCAGTGATCGTGTCTGATTAATTGTTGACTGTTAATCAATAACACCTCTACGACCTCCTTGGAATACGATTACGACTCGAATCTTTTTTATGCTTACGCATTCAGCGGCAACAGCATATCGCGTTGGGCTTTTCCACAAAGGTGCAAATACGCTGTCTGACTGCTTCTCTTTTTTTTTTTTTTTTTTTTTTTTTTTGCATGTACTGTTCTTCTGCCATTCTCTCCGTGAAGTACGTTCACTCATGGTCAACCACGGGGCTCTCTAAAGTGTCGAAGTCAGCTAGGGCCCATTTTAGTCACACCCAAATTAAATCAGGAAAATTTAAATGGTGAAAAACAATCCTCCAAATTTGATCAAATCATCGTTTGTTGTGTATTTAAAATGGAAATTACTAAATTAATTAATATTGTAAACATTGTTGGGGAGCGGCAATTATACTTTAGTTTTTTTCAATTTGCAGCAGGCTTTGTGATGCCCATCCTGCCCCGGTATTTTGATGCTACTGCGACGCTAACGAACACATAACATAATCAAATAAAACAACATGACACCAAGCCACCGTCGTTTTAAATGTACTGAGTCATGAATTCATAAAAGTCGCGTCCATTGGCCATTGCTGTGATAGCTTATAAGGAGAAATGACGGTTGACCATATGGCAAAGAAACACGTCCACAAGGTGAAATGACCGTGCGTCCCCCAGATTGTTTTGCCCTTTTCGCAGTGAGCCGCAGCGAAAAGCAAGCGGGGCCCACGGTGTGTTGTTTCCCCAAATTTATTACGGATGTCGACTTCAGTGCAGGTTTTCAGGCACTGCTCCTTTTTTTTTTCCACTCTTGTTGCGTTATGTATGAGATTCAATTTGACACTGCTGCTCGTTTAAGCGGCACCGAAGCACAGATTTTCATTCCCAAACATTATTTGTTGAGTTGAAACGTTTGTGACTGTCACGAGTTGGTTGCTATGCTCAACTGACTTTCGTGTTTTATTTTTTTTTGGGGGGGGTGAGGGGGGCTCAGCGACAAAACGGGAAAAAAAATTGTAGAACATCCGTGTTGGAGCACCTACAACAGAGTCGATGTGTGCGGGTGCGACTGAAGCTCCGTCGACCCTCTTGTATGTATCCTCTATCACAGTGGCAATGTGGAAAAATCCGCTTGGCGCTGTTATTTTTAGAAATGGGCTTGTTTACTGGAGGGTTAAGAGCTGCGGGGGGAATAAATTTGTTGTAAACCGAAGTGTCGATAATTAATGCATGTTGTTAACTCGCGGTTGAATCAGTTGGGGGACAGGCTGTATTATTCATGCCTCCTTTGCTCCGACTCTCTTTTCTCGGCGACGGCCCCGCCCCAATCCCGGCGCTCCCTTTGGCGCCGGCGTAGAACGAGGTGTTCCCGGAGCCCTTGTTCACCTGGACCCGCGTGGGGGGCCGCCTCCTGGACGGCAGCAGCGAGCGACAGGGCAAGGAGCTGATTCTGGAGAGGGTCCCGGCCGAGCTCAACGGCTCCATGTACCGCTGCACGGCCCAGAATCCTCTGGGCTCCACCGACACGCACACCCGCCTCATCGTCTTCGGTACGTTTGCCATTAAGTGGAAAACGGCGATCGAGTACAAGTCCGATCTATTATTGAACAAGCTCGCGCGCGACGACCGAAAGGACGGCGCCACAATGAGGCGGAATGCTCTTGACATAATTAAGTGCGAGGAAAAAAAAAAAGGAAACGACATCACTCTACAAAATGTCTCCCTCGCACTGTATCTACAGAAACGGTGAAATATACCTTAGAGATTTATGCGACCACTTTTGCCGATGAATCATTCATGCGCCTGCGAGATTGCGATTAATAAAAGATTGTGTCCCTAATTGGCCCAACAACACTTTCTTTTTAAGACCGCACTTAGAGAGATGACTATTCTCTTAACGAGAGTTTTCAGTACATCACCGGCGAGCATTGTCGCAGCCGCTCTTCATATACGAGTACATTTTGGCCTGGCTCGGACCTGGCTTGTCAGACTTTTGTGTTTTATGGCAAATCTTCAAACGGCGCCACTATTATGCTCTGACCGCATCCGATAACGGAAACTCTAGAACTTTCCGGTTTCGTTGTATGCCATGTCTCATATACGTCGTCTAAATTCATATAAATCGGACTTAATTTCTCAGACAAGTTTACTGGAACTAGCTAAAATCACGCTAAAATGTTCGACCCGCAATATCTTTTTCGTTTCATTTCATTGGGACAGTGCACATGAATCAACACATGAATAAACAGTGTAAATGCGCCGGACTTAGCATAAATGCTAGTTTTCAAACGTCGTCCCAAGGCAGGTTCCTTAACAGAAACGTCACATGAACAGTGAACAAAATAATATAACACAACACATGCATTCATTCTAGAGGAGTAGTTCTTAACCTGGGTTCGATCAAACCCCAGGGGTTCGGTGAATCGGTCTCAGGGGTTCAACAGAGCCTCTGCCATGGAGATGAAGACACACCCGACTCAACATGTCGATTAGTTATCCGCTTGTCCATCACTGGCTGCTTCATTTTGTGCACAATTAAAAAAAAACGTATACGTTTTCCTTGTACTAATTGTGTTGACCTTTTTTCTGTTTTTAATAAATGTGTTTTTTAATATCTTGGAATTTGTAAAATAAATCAATCAATCATATTTTTTTTTTCACGAAGGGTTCAATGAATGTGCAGATGAACTGGTTGAGTTCCATACCACTAACAAGGTTCAGAACCAATGTTCTCGAGGCTGCACACGGTACACTGACTACGTTAGATACACATGCACTGATGAAGGCCAACGCAAAACTTGAATCAAATATTTTGCCTTGACGAAGACAATGATGTTGGCTGCTATCTGTGATTTTCAAAAGACACTAAAATGGTCACTCCACGCCCACATTGCAGACTTTGTGTCTTTTCCTTGAGTCTTTTCTGTGGGTCTGCTCGTGACGGACTTGCCGACCACATTTCATACAACGAAATGAAACTGAAACTCCCGTTTTTAAAAGTCCCCCAGAACGCGTTCATGACACCCGGATGACCACGATGAACACATCTATGGGGCTGAATATTTTGTTGTCTTTTGGATTGACTCGCTGGGGAAGTGTAACATAATCAAATGGGTGCATGTCAGAAAAAGCCGTCGCGGTTTCCGGCGTCGCACATCCACTTGACACGTCACTTCACATGTGAGCTCTGAGCATCCAAATATAGCTGGGAAGGCGTTGTTTTTACCCAAGGGGCACGCTTTCTCCTCTCATTGCAATCACTTGGCATGCGCTCCTTGTTAAAGTTAAAAAAAAAAAAAAAAAGGTAATTTACTTCTATCCTTGTTGTTCTGGTGCACTGTGTTCCCAAACTCCATTACCAGCCTGTAATCCTGAACTGAACACAGCAGTGTCAATAATAACCTTTTTTTTTTTCTTTTTGTCTCCCACAGAAAATCCAAGCATGATGAAAAACACGCAAAGCCAGAACAGTAAGTTTTCCAACTATGCAAATGACTCAGCCACGAGTGGGCAAGTGCGATGAAAAAAAAAAAATGAACCACCGAACTCCCGATGTCTGCCTTTGACACGGCAGCCAACCGCAAAAGAAAAACGTTTCCCCTACTGGTGACGTTATGAAATTCTCTTGAGTTCACATCAAGCGCTTGACTTATTATTCTCGCGATATTTAGAGTTCAACTAGTTTTACTTTACTGGTCACAATATTCCTCTGTCAAAGTCGTTCCAGGATGGGGTCGAATTGTTTCCCGAGTGAGGACAGAGGGCGTACGAGTACACGGACCTCATGCTGGATATCGAATATGATCTCAAATGACTTTCCATAAAGCTGTGACAAGCCTTCATTCTGTTCCCACTCCTTTGTCCTCCGACCCAAAGGCAATTGCTTCACAGCGCCGCCGCGTTTCCCGCTGCACCGCTGCATCTATTTTTAAATGTAGCTCACGCTGGGTTGAGACGGTGATGACGATTTTTGGAGAGGGCCGCGCTGTGCGTGGTCAGCACAGATTATCCTCTGGGATCCCGAAAGGACCAAATCCCCGGATAAACATCCGGGATTTGGCGTCCTTTGTGGCGTGCGAATTACAATCGTCGACAGCCGGTCAAAACGGAGACAAAAAGTCAATTGGACATTTAAAAGCAGCAAGTGGGAGGGAACGGTATTGCCTGGATGCCTCTCTGCCAGTAGGGGGCGCCTGTGAATCTCTAACCAGGCACGATCTTCTTCACGGAAACGCAGAACCTGTTTCGTTGTTGCAATCGGTGAGCAAATGCTTGTCCAAGCTCCCGTTAGCTGTCTGCATTTTTCTTGGAAAGGGGGAAATTTTTCTTTCACACCTGCTGCCCCATTTTCATGGAAGTGCACCGCCTTCCTTGGTGCAAATCCCCACATCGCATCTTCATCTGGCATGTTAGTCGCACCTTAATCCACTTTTGACGAATGCGTGCCATACGACACTGAACAACAACAACAACAACAGGTTGTTTGCGGCGAGTCTTCCAATTGTGGGTTCATCCAAGCGCGAGCGCGTCCTCTGCGGTCCACTTGCAGTCGACTGGCGTCAACACGCGAGTCGTGCGGCCATCTGTTGGTTTTCGCACTTTGGCTCGGACGGCGTTGAGGCTGTGCCAGCCCGCTTTCCCGAAGCCCTTATGGGAGTGGTCTCGCTCTGCCAGCGCGTGCATCGCAACACCACATACGACAATTTCAGTCATTCCTCTTCAAATTGACCAAAAACAACCCCAAAGGTTTTCCAAGGCACTCGGCTCGAGTTACTGAAGTAATTTTCCATACTCCTGAAATGTATTCATGTCTTTTCTCTCCTGAGCGTCGCGTTTTTCGATCAAATGGAAGTGTTCTTGCAACAGTACGGCATTGATCGGAGTATAAAATCAGTTTCCTGACAATATAAATGTAGTCTCAATGAATAGCATTGGTTTTAATTCTTGTAATTACATATAAATCATTACAAAGTATTTTTCCCCCCTTTCAAAATAAAAACCTTCAATCACAAAACACTCACGTCAGTCGCGATCATGCCAATTCTTTCCACTGTTAAATTTAACATGATAATATTAAATTGATATGAAAACGAAGGCTACTTTTTCTTCTCTTTAACATCACTGCAACAAAATATGTTTCAATTCTAGGAAAGGTGATGCCTTTTTTTTCTTGAAACACATTTTTTTAAACAAAAAAAAAAGACACCATTTTGTTTTCTTTTTTTTCTCGAACGCACAACATTCCTAATTCCTATGGCATTTCGAGTTACATGTGGCTTTATTGTTTAATTCATATTTGGATTATGAGGGCGTCCTTGGAAAAATGTTCCTCCACCGAAAAAGTTGGCCTTGACTTTTGGGCAAGGCTAAATTCTAATTTTGTTGTTGTTGTTTTTTTTTGCCTACCCCGTCTAATATTGTCTCAGTATTGTGAAAAAAAATCAATCATTCTGTGGGGCCGTCATGAAAAAGAGGCCATTTGTAGCCGCCGTGCGTCCTGGCACCGTAAACGTTGTTTATCCTGGCAACTGCGTGAATATCTCAAAGGCGGCGGTGGCCCGACAAGCCCGGGATTGAGCCGTTCACCGAAGAGGCACGTGCGCGCTGACCTCCCGGGGCCTTGTTGTACACCGGTTTAACTTGCGCGAGGAGTGTGCACGCGCGTGGGCGTGCGTGTGTATGACTCCATTTTGTCCTTGCTGTGACACACCTGCTCCCGCGCTCATCCTGGCATTTGCATATTCAAATCTGTATCCCCAAACCACAGCTAGAGGGGCAGCAAAAGCAACGAAGAGCAAATAAAGGACAGAGAGTGGATGTAGAAGACAGCAATAAAAATTAATTAATTAATTTTAAAAAGACATCATTAATGTCAGGCAGCACTGTGGAATAAGTGCTTTGCGCGCCTGCCTGCCTCACTGTTCTGGGGTTCAGGTTTGCCCCCCTCAATATATATATATAAAATTGGCATTGGCTTTCAGTTTGGAGAGATCAAAGAGGCCGTTTGGAGAGCTCTAAAGTTGCTTTGCAACAAAGCCAAATTCAAATACCGGATCAGTCGTATGTCTGCGAGCAAAATCCCCGCATCAAGTTAACTCCACGGGTGCTGGAGAGTGGCGCTCGTGGGCAGAAACTAAACCTACGAGCGAAAAGTTTGGAGAAACCCATGAGAAGAATAAGAGATGCCCGTGAAGCTGATTCACTTTCGATCGTATTTTTTTTTTTTTTTTTTAATCACAAGAATTGTATTCAAGAAGCAAAAGAAGCTATTCATTGGAGCAGTCTTAGAATCCTAGGAGTAAAAAGTAGAACAATGTGAATCATCATGATTACTTAGGGAGAACTGTGCAATTTATTAGTTAAAGATTTTTTTTCTGCAATTATAATGCAAGTGTACGATGACCAGGTTTTTGCAGTTTACGAGCCTGCCAAGTGGCTTTCCCTCACGAAGAGAGGAGGTCCACTGTGGTTCCTTTCCAACAATTGCTGTCTGACTTTAGCCAGAACTCTGGCATCTATGGGCATGACAGAAAGATTTTTCGCAGCAGAGCTCGGGAAAGCTCGCGCAGAAAAACATGCCAACTCGTGAAAAATGACCTGCAAAAATGACTGTACAACAAAAAAAAAAAAGGGCCATTCTCCCTGACTCTGTATGTCCGCTTTGAGGTATAGCGTTCCCCGTCGCCCATTTTGTGTCAGGCCGTCGACTGGGCTCGCCATCTGCTCACTCAAGCTGCTCCCACGATGCACCGCGACAAACGTGGCCGTCACACATGTGCAAAAGGGGATTATGCGGCGATTACACATCCAGCCCATTAAAATGAATTTGCCACTTCATCGAGCGCCGCTCTCATTAAACGACGGCGCGCGTCTCATACTGTATGTGTGAGAGGTTACCCTTTCATTTACATTGTTAATGGGTAGTGCTTAACAGAAGGTGATTTAACCAACGCTAATGACGCGGAACTGTTGCTTTATGTGTGAAAGCAGTTTATCGGGCTCGCTCGCGAGAGATATTTTAGTCATGCCATTCTTTGCCGGGGTTGAGCAATGGTGGTAGGTAAAAAGACATGAGGAGGCAACTTTTTCATCGCTTTCCACTGTAGTGACTGATGCAGAACTTTGCAATCAAAACCAATGTGTAGAGAAAGACCGCTTTTGAATATACGGTGTGGTCACCGTCGTCACGGATGTGCAACTTTGACATCAGGAATCGTGCACAGAGAGTAAAATAGCCTTTGAATTCAAGCCCACTGTAGTGACTGATACACAGCTTCGATGTAAAGACTCATCTCGATTAAAGACAACAGCTTTCTGGATGGCTGGCCTCTGTAGTGACTGATGCAAAACTTTGACCTCAAGACACGTACGCTGTATGGAAGAACAGAGCTTGTTTTCTGTTACACGCCCCCAACGCATCTGAAAATTTGAAGACAGAAAGTATACTAAACTTTCGACCAGGTGAAACCGGCTTTAGGTTGTGGCGCAGGTAATGTAGGTTGTGAATTTTGGTGCGGATGCCCTTTTCCCGGTGGCCAACTTTACATCATCCGCAAATAGAGATCTTTCAGGCCCTGATGAACGCCGATAACCTGCTCCAGCGACTTGCTTCCACACCTGCGCTATGCACAAATAGAGGGCCCTTTGAGTCAGTATTGACCGATACACAACTTTGACATCGAGATTCACACCCATCGAAGAAAACAGCTCCAAGACATTCATTTTCGTGATCCAATTACATGATTTTTTTTTTTTATTTATACATTTTCAATGCAACTTTGGTGTCTGACTGCGTGTTTGTTTCCTGTTTTCAGGTGGAGCCTCGCACATGAACATCGTGGGCGGCTTCACGTGGATAGCCCTCGTCCTCACAGTGACTGTGGAACTGACGTGAAAACTTGTACGCTCGCACCCATACGCACATACTTGTCCTTGTCTCACACACACACACACACACACACACACACACACACACACACACACACACACACACACGAACATTTAAAAAACAACAACAAAACATCAGTTTCCTTTCCACAACCTTGCAAGTGTTCTCCGGCTGTCAACAAAACTTCTGTTGGGGTCGCGGTGCTGCCTCCCATAGGCGCTCCTACTACTTTTTTTTTTGTAACGAAAATAACCACAATTACGCGATCTAAAGAACATGATGAACATGACACCCTCCTTCCTTATATCCCAAGTTACACTTTTTTTTTGTTTTTTGTCCCACGTCTGCCTGTCGACCAATAAAATCAGTTCAAACTGTTCAGATTTGACTTTTTTTTTTTTTGGTCTAAGTGTTATTGCTGTTTCCATGCAAATGAAGAGCGGCTCAGGCTATGCCTCCCGTTAAAAAAAAAAAAAAAAAAAAAACCTTCCGCACCTATCTGCTCCCTCTCCTGGAATGCAGCAGATAGGCACCACAAGGGGGCAGAAGGGTGGAGGATGTGGGGGGTCGCAATGCAGACGTTCAAACAGAACACTATTCAAGTATCTCTTTTTATTTTGTTTTTGGGTTTGTTTTTTTTTTGTTTGTCTTTTTGATGGCTCAGAATGTACAAAAGAATTTAAATGCATTGGGAAAAAAATCTCCTGTTTTTGAGTGTATTTTGTGTACATCAGTGTAAATAAAACAGATTAAGAAAGAGGTTTTATGGGGTCGTGGTGAGGGACGGAGCTGTTTGAATACCACCCATCAGAGCGAAACACTGGCTGACAGAAAAAAAAAATACAAACAGCTTTTTATGTATCCCATTAGATCTTTTTTTTTCTTGTATGACAAGTGTTGTCGCATTTGTCCGATGTTTTCAGGATTGTGATGCACGTGAGTTTGTTTAGTTTTTTTTTTTTTACCATTTTTTTTCTTTGAGGCGCTGCTGCAGCAGCTCATTGCAGCTGTTTCCTTGTCATGCTCTCTGAAGTGATTTACATTGTGTGTGTGTGTGTGTGTGTGTGTGTGTGTGTGTGTGAATATAGATGTAATTCTCTCTCTCACATGCGCACACACACACACACACACACACACGGATGTTTGCTAAGATTAATAGCGTCATGCTAATCCCCCCCCCCCACCCCAGTCTTACAAAACAGGGTTGTTTGCATTTGTTTCATTTCACCTGTATTAAAGTGGCGAGATGATCAAGCTGACACGCCTTGGCTTTGCTTATGACACGCTTGTATGTGTTTTGAATAATCATGACTTGTTTACGTATACTGTGCACAAAAAAAAAGGAAAAAAAATAGGCATTTGCCATGATAATAAGGCTCAGTTTTAATTGACACTGTCAGGGCAAAGGAATGATTTTACAAATTTTTGTATTATTGTGGTTGGAGTGTGTTTGCTCTATCAGACTGTGAGATATTTCTATTTTTTTTTCTCCCTCTCATGTAGATAAATAGGGGAACCAAAATAGGATCGTAATATTCTCTCATTTAGTCGCTCTTGGGGTTATTCCACTGCACAAATGTTCCGCGGCTGTTTGCGTTCAAAAAAGATCACTTTCTTAAAGGGTTGGAAAACTGCACCTAGCAATGCAAATTGTGAGCCCGTCAATGTCACTTTCCCTTATGTGTTAGCATGATGATAGCAGGGGCATTCCTGAGGCAAAACTGTTTTGTTGCCTCAAATCCACCAAATGTGATAGTCTTTGTTTGATGTTTACTTTGACAGTAAACTTTGACTGAGACTGTCATGAAACAACTTGAAGCCTCTTTTTCAGATCAGGTGGTTGACATGTAAGCCACAACACAAAGGAAAAAAAAAAAGTCACCCAAAACTCATAAGTCAGGTGACTCGCACGTCATGGAAAAACATTGTTTTGTGTTTTTTGTTGTATTCAATTCATTTCATTGCCACGGTGTACCTAATGCAACCGCTGAGTGTTTTTCCTAGCATATATTATTGCTCATTTCCGCATAGCTGACCGCAGGGCTCATTTGGCAACTCTGTTTGATGTCGGCACCGTAATCATCCACATCACGGCTCAGGCATCAACAGCGAGCCTTTGAAGAAGAGTTGTAATGATGAACCAATGCAGCTAGTGTCCATTTCAAGGTTATAATTGAACTCCTTCATCCCTCGTTGTTGATTTTTTTTTTTTAATAGTTAATCATATCAAAGATAAACTACTGTGCATGCATGAGCTGGTGAAGGTTTAAAAGATTTTTGCCCGATGGACAGAGCAGACTCGAGCAGTCACGTCGGGATGGCAGTTCGCCTTGCGAAACCACGACATTGCAAAACGGCCCCGCGAGGTGGAGAGTTGCTTTCCAATGACAGCAAAATTAAGAGGCCTGAGCTCTAAGTGGGGAAGTGAAGTACACCGACTGCATCTCATCATAACACCAACAATTTCAGATCAGTTCAAGGAGCACTTTTGGTGCTCTATGGATGAAAATAAAACCTGGAAGAGGTTGATGCATTGCAAAATTGCATTGGCCGAGGTGAAAATTGTGTTTTTCGTGCATTATCAAGTCTCACGTGAATGAGAATGGGCACTGTTCATTTTGTATGACCACATCGCATGACCTATTATTGACAACATTTGTTCAAAGCCGCACAGGACGTAAAAGCCTGTTGAATGGTGAAGTGGGATTTCTCCGGTGGCTAATTCTTTCTTTTGGGTTCCTTTTATTCTCGGAGCAAAGCAAACACGAAAGGTTTACTTCTGCAGCTTGATTACACAAGGCTCAACACGGTCAACAATTTGTACGGTCCCAAGGGTGAGTCACAACAATTGCACACCCCTCTTTGCAGAGCAGATTAAGGATAAGTGTGGCATCACAAAAAACACGTTTACTACAAATGACACGACCGGGCTATGTGTGGCATGTTGAATGTTGCATGTCGTATTTATGAAGGTTATGTGAGTCCTAAAGTTAGGATGAGCGGCTTGGATCATGGCATAACAATCATGCATTTGTGTCGTCGCAAAGTGACTTTTAAAGCCACGCACGTAGCTTCTTGAGATTTTGTGAGATGTGTTCCTACACTTTCAATTGAGGAATTTGTCTGGAGCGCAAAAAAATGTTATCTGTGTCACCTACCATCAAGAGAAGGAGGAGAAAGTGCCTCCCTACCGAGTAGATAATCATGTCGCCCTCATCTTGGTCCACTAGAGCTGAGAACAAAAGTCAAGACAATTAACAGAATGTCAAAGAGCTCCCAAGCGTGAATTATTCACAGGTCATACTGAGCTTGGAGAGTTTGGTTTCCTCGAAGTGCTGATCTGCAAGCTCTCATATGACAAAACAGGGACCAAAATTTGCAATCGCTGACACACGCCCTTCATTTTTGCCCCTTTGACTCCATAGAAAGCACATTGGGTGACTTAGGGCGTGCGTTTACACGACTAAACAACCTTTTCGGGTTCGTACGTTCTCATTCTCCTCAAACAAGCGCCAACAAAAACAATTGCAAACATTATAAGTATGCCAGGCGAGTTGTTGGCAGTGTCACTGTTAGTTACTCGTTTCCCTTGTCAGCATATGCAAGCAATGCATCTTTGTCATCGGAGTTGTCCCAAAACAGCGCTGTCTTGGAAAAAAAAAAAAGACTGAATAATAATAATAAGTTTATTCTTGCCCGTTGTCCCCGAAGGACGTCGTTAACGATGGTGCCACATGTCTCAATTTCCATATTTTGTAACCCGTGACCCTTCCGGTTACAGAACCGACGACTGCCTTTCAAAAGCCAAAAGCTCGGATTTTCCAACTATTTCACCGAGAGACCTTTCAGAGGCCAGAGCCTCCCACGGAGTCAACTTTAACCGCACGAGTTTTCCTGCGGACGCCATCCTCGACCGAGTGCGTCAGTGTGACACATGGCAGCTTGACGGCGGCTGAGCTTATGCAAATGAATGAAGCTGTCAGTTTTCTCTGTTCCATCGACCGACTGCCAAGTTGTGCATGATCGTTATAGCATTCGGCTTTGTCTGACAGAGCCCACTGCGGAAGGGAAAGTTTTGGATCCGTGACACAAGTGTGCAAACAAATGCATCCTGGTTGCTAAGTAGATGATACAACGAGTGCCCCGCCCCTTATTTCCACCTTACTTTCCACCAGCAGCTCAAGCTGTGCAGGCAGAATGACTCGAGTAGTTATAAAACATCAACCGCTTATGCTTAAGTAAAACCTGCACCAACAGAAATGGTAGCAAGGTCTTGTTGTCTTGGATGATTTTTTTTTTTTATGGAGGAAAAAAAAAAGTGAGAACATGTCAACCAAATATTGATCTTTACGGAGGGTGCGCTTCGTTGTGTTGAATCAGCAACTGACTCACCGCAGGTGTCGAGTGAGCCGAGCTCCGCCTACAAAGAGATGCAAATGTGCCTCCGCAGGTTTCCTTTTACACCCGGAGGCAAAGAGCGGCAGTCATCGCATCATCGGAGCTCTTTTGCAATGGAAACCAGCCAATATGCGATTGTCAGCTGAGCGACGTTGACAAAAGGATCAGTGGAGCGGTCATTTCCACCATCTACTCCTGCTGCCGCCATGCCTGTCGCAAACCTCCTCGGGGTCCAATCCGACATGCAGCTGGTGCTCAAAATAAGTCTTTCTGTGGCGGCGGTGCTTCTTGTGTCACTAGCCTACAGGTTCTACAACTCCAGGAGCATGGAGGAAAGTCCCGTCCAGCGTAGCAAAAAACAACAGACTTGCCAGAGATGCAAGACAAGCCTGTCGGCGAGTGACACCGGCGATAATCTACTCGGACCGACCCTCGCCGATGCTCCGTCGTCTGACAACGCCAAAGGAAGACCGACAGAAGCTAATCCAGCCCAGGAGGCATGTTGCCTCTCACACGGTGAACAACATTTGGAAAAGGAAGCAAAGTTATCGGTGTCCAGTGATGGCGCTCCGAATCTTCCCGAAGCGGCAACGTGTGGACCAGCGAGTACAAAAGGCAGACGCTCTCCCTGCTTTTTAAAAAAGTTGGACGGCGGTTTGGGCGTGGGAAGGGAGCTCAGGCAGGACTTGGAACGACACGGCGTCTACTCCAGCTTTCTCTCCAAGGCGGAGATCAAGGTGGACGATGCTAAGCTGGTGCTGGACAGTCCTAGAGACCAGGTAGTGCATGGAAAGATCTATGAATACTACGTGGAAACCTCTTCTCACTGTACTACAGACCCAAACATAAACTTGGGTCAGAATGAAAGCAAGTCTGAATTGCAACGAGCAGAGATTGGAACAAAGTTATCGGTGTCCAGTGATGGCGCTCCGAATCTTCCCGAAGCGGCAACGTGTGGACCAGCGAGTACAAAAGGCAGACGCTCTCCCTGCTTTTTAAAAAAGTTGGACGGCGGTTTGGGCGTGGGAAGGGAGCTCAGGCAGGACTTGGAACGACACGGCGTCTACTCCAGCTTTCTCTCCAAGGCGGAGATCAAGGTGGACGATGCTAAGCTGGTGCTGGACAGTCCTAGAGACCAGGTAGTGCATGGAAAGATCTATGAATACTACGTGGAAACCTCTTCTCACTGTACTACAGACCCAAACATAAACTTGGGTCAGAATGAAAGCAAGTCTGAATTGCAACGAGCAGAGATTGGAAGCGATTGCATCACCGGCACAGGTTCTCCTCTTTCTGTGGACCCTGACGTCGCCGAGGAACCGTCCCTCCTTGGGACATCCGTTCTGAGGCCCTCCGTGACGTCCGGACCCCAACGCAAACCGAGCTATCTCGCCGCCGCAGAGCAGTCGGGGCTGCCGAGTCCAGTTCCTCCCTCTGATAGCTCAACAAACGCCGGTCCCCCGTTGACCAGTCCTTCCACAAACAATGAAGGCCACAATGTGAGCAGAGGGTCTCATCAAGAGGCTGTAGCGGGGAGTCTCTTGGTCCACCGCTCGGATTTGGGAAGCCTCGAAAATCAACTGGATCTGGGGAATTGTTTGGAGGCTCTCTTTTTGGCCAAAAAACATGACCGGGGGTCAGTGGTGCAAGCGGCCATTGAAGTTATGTCCAACAACTACCTCCAGGTACTCCGGGACGCCGACCTTTACGGGCGGCTTACCGACGCCGAGCTGCAACTCATCAGGAGGCAGAGAGTAAGAGGGAGAAGATTTGTCATGATGGCAGATATGGACCCCCAGGACTGTTCGAGGAACAGCAGGGCGCTGAAAAGGAAGCTGAGCGCTCTGTACTACTACGACGACTGTCGAGACAGCTGGCATAAACTTTGCTCCATTCCGCAGGAAGTCATCAGCAAAGCCTGTGCCATGTGCACGATGGATAACTACCTTTTCGTCGCCGTGGGCTGCCAAGGCACCGAGGATGAACTGACGCCTTCCAAGCGCGTGTTTTGCTACAATCCTCTCACGGCCATTTGGAAGGAGATCAGTCCCATGAATGAAGCCAGGCCCCGTTGCAAACTGGCCGCCCTGGACGGCTACATCTACGCCGTCGGCGGGGAGTGCCTCTCCTCGGTGGAGCGCTACGACCCGCGATCGGACGCGTGGACTTTTGTGGCCTCTCTGCCGAACGATACCTTCGCCGTGGCCCATCACGTGACCGTTTGCAACGGGGAGCTGTTCGTGTCCGGCGGTAGTCTTCGCTACATGCTGCTGCGCTACAGCCCCAAGAGCGACACCTGGAGGGGCAGTCTGATGGCGGGCGGCAAAGACAGGACGGCGGACATGGTGGCCGTGGGACCCTTCCTGTATCGCTTTGAAGTCAACCCTCTGCTGGGGCTCAGCGTGTACCGCTACCACACCGTAGCCCGACTGTGGTACGAGTGCGGCGCCAAACGGCTCCCGCGCTGCCCCGCTTTCCAGTGCGTGGCCATGGACGACAACATCTACTGCGTCGGCCGTCACTTCACCTTGAGATTTGAGGCCGACGAGATCTCTCCGGCTTTCAGCGATGACAATTTGAGCGTGGCCTCCGCGGCCAAGGGCCTGCTTTTCCCCTTTGTCCTGTCGCTCCCTGATAAGCGCCCTCTGCAGACCAGCGTGTAGCGCAGATTCACTTTCAGAATGATGAGAACGTTGTGCCTGACATCTTACACAGGCTCTCCGTCGGCGTACTTTTTGAACATTGTCCATGACGAGCTTACCCTCAGTTTTAGGCCTTTTGTATCGCGGTCACACTGGAGCTGTGATAATGGATGCATTGATTATGTTTTGGGGCGGGGGGGTCATGGTTAATTTCAAACGTATCTTCTAAAAGTAAGTGTGCTGTTATAATTGTACATTTTGCATGAAGGAATTACGAGCCAAATGTGGCTCTTTAATGGATGTTTTCTTGGCGAACATGCAAAGCGCAACCACAATGTTCCTTCTTTGTACTTTTATTGCAATTACTGCCCCTTTATTAGCGATCTCCAACCATAAAATGTAAAACGTTAGCACCCTAATGGCCGCCTGACTACTGTGTGCTTCGATTAACGCAGGACGCGCCGCCTCGCAAACAGCTTGCTCCTCTCGATTTGTTGCTCCGCCTTGCCATGAAGTGACTTTTACAACATTTCAGCTTCTCGTGCCGAAAACCCACTCATGAATAAGCGTGGCAGTAAAGTATACATTATACAAATGAGGCGATCGGGCCGCCATCCGTCACCGCAGTACACGGGGCACAAATAGAACTGACACAGTGACCTGGAGAGGACGCAATTATCTGCGGCCGCCGTGTAAATACGGCAGCATGTAAATGGAGGTGTCATGCAATATAAATCGGTGAGCGTCCGAAAGCGCCTGTCGCAGGCGGGCTCGCTCTTCTTCGGCGAACGGAAAATGTGACTGAGTGTCGTATTTTGCTGCCCTCCAAACATCTTGAAGACGGATACAAACTTGTCATTCGCTGCATGCGCTCTGCATTCCACTGTGGGTCATTATGCGCGAAGAAATCAGATGCCCTGCGAGTGACGTAAATATTCATCATTGGGAGCTTATTGAATGACTGACGGCTTCCCCGGAGAGGTGTGCTGCTACAGCGCCATCATGTGGCTCAGGCAGCAAACAGAGCAGCGCGTGCAGCTTGACAGGTCGCTTTCTCGAACCTCCTTCGACATCATGAGTGGGGATGGGGGGGCTGTCAGGGGAAGGCGAGCGGCGGCGGCGGCGGGAAACATCCGAGCGACTAAGCTGCCGCCGGTTGCTCGCAGATGGTTGACCATCACACATTAAGCGTCTTTGATTCTTGCTAATTAAACACTTTGATTCCACGTGATTAAGCCCCTAATGGGATGGGAGTTGCACGCATCCCTGCAGACGTCGCCTTCAACGACGCATGACTCGGGTCAGCTGCGACATCATTTTTTTTCCTTGTTTTTGGTTTTGTTTCTTTTGTCTTTGCAAGATCCCGGGGAATACTAACAGCACGCGCTGCGTTTGACAGAGGAGGACTTTGCATGTCATTATCTTGTGGAAGCCAAGGCATAAATGATATGCCCCGGCCCTCTGGTTCCACATTCACTCTGACATGCGTGTGATATGTATATAGAAGCTGTGAATATCGAAAGCAATTGGACAGAGCAGCGGCATTAAAAAAAAAAAAAAACGAGCACGTTCACCGCTTATAATGAAGTTAAGTGACAAAAGAGCACTGCTCTAAATAGTGTTCGAATCAACAGATGAGGCAAGGCAAACATTAACATGCCCGGGGCCGTCTTTAAACTCACAGCGGGACACTGTTAGTCGAGATGGTAAAAGTTTTCATGAGTTTTCAGTTGGGTTTTTTTTTTTTTAATTACTTGTTCTGTTCTGGGGACTTGAAAATGTTTATCTGACAGTGCGACTCCGCCACCCTTCCCATGACTTGAGGTAGACTGGCTGAAAAGGTCCACACACTTAACAACAAGAAGTGGAAGGGGAAGTCCCTCGCAAGCCCTTTTTTTCATGACGAGTCCTCGTCTTGATCCTCCAATTTTTATGCTGTGCTCTGCCCGCATTGGATGACATTGGCGAGCGACCAAGATTCAGTCGTGTTTCCTATCAGGGCTCATTCCTCAAAAGGAACAGCCCTGGAATACCCCGAAGGCTTCAAACCAAAATGGCTGACTTCCTGTTGAATTTTGGCCATGGAGCTTTCAGACGTTTCCGTGCATCTTGTCGTCATTCCAATTTCAATTTTGTGTCAATCACTGATACTGCTATCAGGAGCAATCAGGAGCAACCCCCCCCCCCAAAAGATCTAGCAACTGAGGGCGTATGCTAACAAACATGAGTGAGTTTTTGGGGTTATGTGTAAGTCTTCCAAAAGCTGATGCAATTATTAGAAGACAAATGTCATCGTTAGAAAACTTTTCTTTGAAAGCATTTTTTCTTTTAACTTGAGTGTATTTGTGAGTAGGACTTCAACCGTGTTATCAAAACAACATATTCCCTTTGAAAAGTGTCATAGCCATGGAAGCAATTTGCATTTGGTTCCCATGAATTGGTGCAACTCCTCCTGCATTCCCAAGAATTGGCTCCTTGGAAAACTTGCAAACTGTTGCAACTGTGGGCGTGACTGCTGCTTTGCGGACCGGAGCGAACCGCGTTTGGTTGGAAGGGCCATAAAGGAAGTCGCCGCAGACATTAACTTCCCTGCAACAATAAAATGCGCATCTGGGTGGACCTACTTTTCATTGTTCACGAGCACAACTGCTGCGCGCCTGCAAAATATACAAGCCCTAGGTGTGTTTTGCTCATCGCCGGGGCGCGGCTGCTTTAATATTTAATTCCTCATATAGAATAACGCTGAGCTTGCTGGCACGGCTGTTTCAACTCCGGCCCCGACTCTGTCGCCCCTTTCGTGCGGCACATTGGCTTGCTGACCAGCGACAACCGCTTTCGTCGAGAAGAGCGCGGAGGAAGTACGTCTCCTTCATGCGTCGCACTTGAGTTCCCGGCTTGCCGACGTCGCCCTTCACGCAACCGCTGTCTCACCTCCGCTACGCCACTGACACCCATCGGAAGCCCGGGCCACCTCCCTCCGATCCGCTATGACTTGCACGTTCAGTGATTGATACAATGAGTCGACCGCTTGTACTTTAATGCGGACTATTTCAATTTCAGTGAGCCCAACTTGGCATGTGACCATTTTGACGATGACATACCGTGCTTTCAAGTTTTTTTATTTTCATTCTTTTTTTTGGGGGGGGGGCTACTTTTAAATTCACACCCACCCGTTCTTAATCACATGTTCAATGCGACATTGCAACACTTTGATTCGCCAACCTTTCATAAAGAAACCATCCAGTACCATGCGGTGCTTTAATGCAGACTTTTTTTTTTTAATGCAATTAAATAACTCGAATTTGCGTTTGTTTGACGACGCTTCATCAGATTTATTCTCCCATCTGTCATCAACAGACCGTCGAGAAGAAGAGTGATTTAATTCAGACGCTTTTGGTTGAAGTGAGCGCGCTACGATTTACCGTTTTTGAACAGACGCGAGGAACCCGTACGTGTTTTTCCCGTTCAAGAACACACAGAAATAACTGGAATTTCAATCATAAATGGATTTTTTTTTAAACTAGACCATGCTCGGCAATTTAATTTGTTGTGTGTGTGCTTATGTGTGTGTGTGTGTATATTTGTGTGTGTATGTGTGTGTCAAATTCATGGTGAGCACCGCTAATTACGTGCTGTCAATAAAAAGATAATCTCGGGCCAAAGAGCTTTTACAAATTGGACCATGACAGAAACAATCAAACAAGAATGAAGGCTATGAAGTGTGGGGCAGCTGTGGCACAAAGCTTCCATCGGTCGGTGTGCAAATACTTTTCTGCGGGCTGCTTTGACAGGCGGCATAAAAGGGGCTGACGTCAGGCTGCCTGGAAGTCACTTGTCGTCTTAATATAGTTCCCCTTTAAGCCTTCGAGTGCGTGACCTCTTCTTTTATAATACTCTTCAAGAGGCTCGCAAAGTGGCGGCGCGAAGCCGCTCTTTAATTGCCCAGCGCGAGTGACGATTTGACACGTATTTCCAGAAATTTGCTCTCCTAATGACTTCTATCTCGGCCATCAGTGTACCGCCGGGATTAAAAGCCTCGACTTGCCGTCCGGTGACAGCCACTCAAGAGGCGTTAGAGCCTCGAAGGAGCGCTTCGGAGGCTGAGGGCCTCGGCACGCAGCAGGGCGGCTCTCGTCTCACACTTGTCTGGCTCTGAGCGCCGGTGGGGCGGGTCAGCCGGGCGGCCGTCGCTGTTGGCTTACGCCTGAACTATGTCAAAGAGAATAAACACTCGCGCGGCGCACTGCAGCGCTGGTAGTGAAGCGGGCGGACGGAGCCACGTGCCGAGCGTGCGGATTAGTCACCATCGATCGTCACTCCTCCACAATTCTTCAGTCGTTTCTTCGTTCGGATGCTGATCCAGGCATCCAGACTGGAGAGGGACGTCCCCATCAGTGCCAATGTGGCACAATGGACGCCACCTAATCACTTTGCTAACGATCTGAAAAGGTGCGATCGTCGACCAACCCTTGTTGTTTTCACTTTACCTCGACCTCCTTATTGCATGTCGACGCACCATTCCAATGATTTCTCATTTCTCATCGTGAATACTTGAAGAACGGGACATCACTTAGCTCCTTGGCGAGCAACTCGCAAATTCACCTTCAGCTGCAGGGTTGTGAAGGAGCTGCAGCTGTTTGATGCTCTTATAAGGGACTCCAGTCAGAAGATCGTTCCAAAGAATAAAGTCTACTGGAGATAAAAGCATGGAAGAGTTTCTCCTGGTCTGCGTGGAGGATGCAACCTTTCAGTCTGGTAGTGACTGATATAAAGCAATAATATCACAAAGACAAGTACGAAGTATTACAATAAGTACAGCAGTGCCGTAATGGGAAAAAAAAAATCTCATGGCACACTGCCATACAAAAAAAGTGAAATTGGATCTGTTGTGACATGACACTTGATAAAGAATGATTAGGGGGAAAAAAAAAAGCATTTCTTGTTGGGACAGCATCCGGCACACTTTGTCAGCCTCACCTGTGCTTTTGCGAGCTTAATGCATGCTGCCCTGAAACCGCCGCCTTCGGCAAACGTGCTACGCGACGGCGGACGTCAGTTAAGACAACAAGACGAGACACCAGTCACGAGTCGGCTTGCGGCGCCTTGTTTGCTCGCTGACTGGAGCCTCTCGCTCCACTTCTATTTATCCAGCTCGTTTTCTGTCTGACGCACGGCGACGTGGTTAGCGACTCAAACAGCCTTCACGCGAGTACACCTGCCATGCCCTCGTTACGACACAGGCAGCAGACGAGAGAGCTGAGAGGAAGGAAAAGAGGAAAAAGGCAGAAGGATGCCTTACAGGATGCAGGATACACTCAAAAGAAATGCAGCGCGCATTGAGAAACACGAGTTGTGTCCTCAAGCAATTTCCCCAGATGTGTCTATTGAAGTCCTCTGAGAAACTAGAAGCACCACCAGGCCACAGAGCGATTTGGCATTTCCCCTCTTTTCGACTGCATAGGAGCTACCTCGCTTGAAATGGATGTACAGCAAAGCCTTGCTTATCGCCGAGGTTACATTACCAAAAGAAGAAAAGGCGACATCCGTGAAGTAGTGCGTGTAACGGCTCCTGAAGGTTTTTTTCTACCTAGAAAGCCTTAATGAGTCGACCAATTTTCAACAGCCTTTATTTTCCACACATCCATCGCGGATGAACACCATTTTTGG